AAGTTACCCATATCCTGGCCCTCCCTTTGCGGGCTAGGAACTTTAGAAGTGTCCACGAGTTCAAAATATCACTTGCAGAGTTTTAACTGGCATGGCCTCTTCCAAGCCCATTTGGACCATTCTAAAAGGGCCTTGCCTGGTCATCTGTTTGCTTCAGAGCCCCGAGCAAAGCGCTCATGCTTTTTCTGAAGCCATAAATGGTTTGGAGCCAAGATCCTTCCGCTTCCTCAACCAGCCCTGCCTGTATTCTCAGGTCACACCTGACTTCTTTTGCTGAGCGCCTTCCCCTGCACAGGTGAAGGGGCGGATTTCCCTGCTGCCACAGCCCAATTGCTTCTCGATTATTTATTAATTGTATACTCTGCCTTTCCTCCCCACAGAACTCCCCCCACCCCAAAAAAATACACCAATGTTACGAGGCTTTTAGGTGTCAGGGCTTTTTAAAATTCCTGGCTCAAACTTCAAGACCAGCCACCCACCCATACCTGGGCAGTGACACTTCCATCAGCTTCTACATTTGAGCATCTGAGGTGATGCCCCCGGATCTCTACCTGCTGCTCTGGTTTGGGGACTGCATGCGGGTGCTGTGTAATTTTGATAGGCTTTCCCCACCTCGTGCTTGTTCCTTTACTGTTGCAATCTGCTCCGGAATCAAGCTTGATAGTCATATAAAACTATTTTAAATTTTAAAAATAAGCAAACTGAAGATAGGGGAAATGATGAAAGGGCATCTTTGACTGCTGGCCTTGAATCTGAGAGCAGGAGAAAAATATCTTCTTCTTTCCCCGAAGGTTTGCAGGGCGTCTGCTAAGAGTGTACACGATAGCGGGAGGCCTGCCTCTAAAGCAACCGCGGCAGCGTTTGTGCTCGAGTATGTGCTGCTAAGGGTTTGGCATGTGAGGGCGCACGTGTTGCCATCTGGAGCTTTTCACTTCTGGAAGAGTATCGGGGAGGAGGTGGGAGCAGAGCCCGTGCCTGCAGCATTCCCTAAGGAAAACCGGGTGGGTGTGCTCTCCCAAAGGCTAGCAGGACACCGGCCGCATCCCATTCAGGGGCCCCTCTTGGGCAGTGCGCCACCACCCCAGGCAGGTAAGAGGACGAGTCCCAGGAGCCCGGGGTGCCAGCTCTTCCGGCGGCTTTCCCGGCGGCCTGCACTCAGAACTGGAGCAGGCGAAGCGTCTCCTGCCCTGGAGAGAAGCCCGCTTCAGCTGCTCCGCTTCTGCAGGCCCAGGCGCTGCCGTTTCTACACAAGGGTGGGAGAACAGCATTCCCTTCAAAGTGCACCCTGCACACCTGGCTCCTAGGCCCTTCACAACACACACCAAAAGGACCCCCTCTGAGGCTCGGGAGCAACAGGCCCACATCCCGGGATGTTCATGATCAAGTCCCACCCCAAGCCCACCAGGTCCATCCCTCCTTTCCTTCTTGTCTGCCAACTGATCTCCTCCTGCTCCCTGCCCACTTCCAGACACCACGGTGCTGCCTCATGGCTGAGTATGAGAGTAGTAATACTCTCATAAGGAAGTCCCTGGTTCAGATCTTGGATGATACTGACCTGCCTTGCAAGGCTGTTGTAAAGATTACGCAAAACATTTCGTATAAGAAGCCCTTTGACTGTTCCTAAGGGACAGAACGTTTGAAAAACTATCAGTCGATTTCCCTAGTTTGTTTTTTAAAAAGTACAGGCAACTATTTTGCACATGGGGGGGGGAGTCAGATTGCAGCCGTGATGTTGGGAAAAGGTACTAAAATGCTAAATACTAAGCCTCTAATTTCTCTTCCCAAAGTTGTCCAGAGCCCCTACATCAGCAAGATTTCCTACACAAGATATTAACCTACCTCCTCCCTCCAGCTCCACCCACATTTAGGAAGAAATGTTTGTCCCTTCTTCTGGATTGCTTTGCAGCTGAAACTCTTGAGGCGATCCACAGAAGCAAATGCATGTTTAAAACAAGCCAACAAACCTCTTTGCCCTTCTTTCAGGAAAAATAACTCTGCACATGCTCAGAAAACACAGCTCCGGGGATACTTTGCAAAGCCCCGAAGACGTGGCAACCCTTACACTGCGTGGGAAGCGATGGCGCGGGAGGCTGCTCGAGAAAGGAGGGCGTCGCACGCAACAGCCACCCCCCAGGACGAAAAGCGGACGGCGCCCCCTCCTCACCTGTAAAGCACCAGCACTTGGCTCACCCGGGGCTGGAAGAAAGTGAGGACGGGGCCGGAGCGTCCTTTCCCCTCGCCCGCCTCCATCGCGGTCCTGCCTGAGAGCCGAGCCGGGCCGGGCCGGGCCGGGCCAGCCGGGAGGGGAGTCACAATGGAATCGAGCTCCCGCGGTCGCCCTAGAAACCGAGCTGGGCTCGGAGCGTGGCCCGCGCCTTCCAGGCTGCTGCTGCTGCTCCCGAGGCTGGTGGGGGCGGAGGCGGAGGCGAGGCACCGCCACCGAGGAGACGCCGGGGCGTCGGGGGGGGGGGGTAAGGCGCTCTCTCCCCGCCGGGGGTGGAGCTAAATGGGAGGGCGGGGCTGGAGGGGCGCGAGCAACAGCGCCCGCCAACGTTTGGGCGGGCAGGAGGGGATGGAGCCTCCGGCGACAGGGGCAGTGTATCTCCGGATTCCAAGCCCTTGCGGAGGAGCGGGGCCAAGACTCGGGGAAGGCGCTTCCGAAAGGATTGCTCTCCTTTCCATGCATTCCCCAGGGCGGGCGTGGGGGTGGGGGTGGGGGTGGGGGTGGGGGTGGCCAGGAAGGTGGCCCTGAGTCTCCCCCCTCCCGCCGCAGTGCGCTTTCCTTCGTAGGAACTCCACACCAACTCCCATTTGGCAAGAAAGTCACGCTCGGAGGCATGTGAAGCGCCTGTGGAAGACACGCCCTCGAAAGGTACGGCTCGACCGCTAATCGCCTTGCGGAAGACAGTGCTGCGCCTCCTGCTGGGCAGGGACACCCAGGATCGCGCTGCCTCCCCTGCCGGCGGCACCCCTTGGATGAGCTCGTACCCTCTGGAGATCCCGCACGCAACGGCCAGCGACATCCTGTGTCAGGGAGCGCCATTCCACTACCATATGCATATCCCGCCTTTTTCCACTAAGGGACCTCAGGTAGCTTACTCTCAGGGGCTGGGAGGTTCCAGGACCAGGCAATCGAGCCTAAGGCCACGAAGGTGGCTATGAAGGGAAGGGCCTTTTCAGTGGTGGCCCTGCAATTGTGGAATCAGCTCCTCAGGGAGGTGTGCCTGATGCCCGCCCTTTATTCCTTCTGTCGCCAGGTAAAAACCTTGTTATTCACCCAATATTTTAACAGTCGATAGTATTTTGTCTATACTACATGATACTGCATTTTAGTGCTTCTGTACCCTGGATTAATTTGAGCATTACTTCTGTAGGTTTATTGTGACCCCATTGTTGCTATTTTAGCATATAAATTTCTTATTTATCTTTGACTGTACATTAAGTACAGGGGAGGCTAAGAGTAGGTATATGGCATGGATCAGGCTGTGTTTAATCTAACTGGGACAAGAAATATCCTCCATCAATGTTGCAGCATTCCTGGAACCTTGTCCCCAACACCAGGACACAAATTCGTTAGCACCAATGTTGCAAAATGCTTGCATGAGCAACTTCAATTCGTCCTCCGTGTGAGGCCCTCCATGATCCAATCGGTACTATATACCTACTTTGGGGCCACCGTGTATATTAAAGATGCTTTTTATTTGTGTATTTTGATTATGTAAATGTCCACAGTATCATTTTGACTACCGGGTGGTACAGAAATTAAATATCAGGGCAGGCCAGGGCTGAGAACTAAGGTGACCAGTGGGCAGGGAGCAGGTACATGAGCAAGGGAACCTGGAGAGGAGTCAGGAGCGAGGCCGGAACCCGATGTAGGAAGGATCGGGCAAGGTACGGGAGCTGAGCCACAGCCGGTGGGAAGCCCTCATGGCAAGAGGCATCCTGCCCAGGGCTCCCAGCTGCGGCCAGGGCCTGGGATGAGCCCTGCAAGCCCTGAGGTGAGCGTTTCGGCTCTGGCGACCGGACGGAGCCCCAGAGGAGTCAGTGACTGGCCTCAAAGCATCCAGGGAGCTCCATGCCAAGTGGGGCTAGATAGAACCTGGGCCTCCTGCCCCCCAGTCCGTGCTCTAACCGCGGCAGCCAGACTGGCCTGTGTCACCTGCGCCATATTGGCAGGCGGGGGCAAGGAGCCGCATGCTGGCCCAGGCACGGACCCACTTGGCTATTCCATGAAACCACTCGCTGCCCTCGTGATTTTGAGGGCAGCACGAGGCACCTCACGGCCCGCTGGCTTCACCTGATGCAGATGGAGGCTACTCCAAGGACGGGGAGCTACTGCAGGCCGGTCCTCTGTCTAGCCCAGTGACGCTGACAGGCAGTGGCTCTCCAGGGGTGCAAAGGGACCCATTTCTCTTCCGGATGCCAGCCTTGGATCTGCATGCAAAGCAGACACTCCAGCCCCCCCCCCCCAATCTGTACCCCCATCCCCCTGCAGCACCCCTCCACAATTGCCTTTTCACACCAAAACAAAGCATTTCTCAGCTTCCCTTCCCATGGGGGACAATAAATCCAGAAGGGCAAGCGATGCACCAGGTTAACCACATTATGGGAAGCTCTATTTGGGACAGTGGCCCGTTTTCAGTTCTCGCTCTCTCTCTCTTAGACATTATTGAAAGGTCCCGTCTATGATGTCCAAGGAGAAATCTTCCTGAATCAGTGTGACTGAAGGGTACTGTGGAGTCGATGCTGTTTGGCCAAAGATTTGTGCAGGTGCGGGCAGGGCAGCTGCGCCCCATGGAGACCATGTGCCAGCCTCCCAAATCACGAGGCCAGCGGGGGACATTTTGGGCCCCGTGCTTTTTCTTCAGACCCTCTGCTCTCCATTCCCAGCACCTTGAAACTGTGGTGCCAGCAAACCAAAAAGGGAGCAAACCAGAAACGCCTTTGATAGATGGCTTGGCTAAGGCCTCTCCTTCTCCTTGTATCTCTAAATGCAGCGAACAAGAATGACGCTTCCCATTGTGGCTGATGTTGCAAGTTCGCCTTAATGAACGCAGTGTTTGGAGCCATCCCCATCCTGTTCAGGCACCCGTCCGTCTACGGCCTGTCCCGGATCACCAGCAGCCTGTACATCAGCAATGGAGAGGCTGCCAACAACAAGCTGTTCCTCTACGGCAACCAAATCACCACTGTCATTAATGTGTCGGTGGAGGTGGTCAACACCTATTTCCCAGACATTTACTACATACACGTCCCCGTAACAGATTGTCCCACGTCCCCCCTTTACGACTTCTTCGACCCTGTGGCTGACAAGATCCACTCGGTGGAATTAAACCAAGGCAGGACGCTGGTGCACTGCGTGGCTGGTGTGAGCCGTTCTGCGGCCCTGTGCATCGCCTACCTGATGAAATACCACTCCATGTCCCTGGTCAACGCGCACACGTGGGTCAGATCCTGCCGCCCCATCATCCGGCCCAACAATGGCTTCTGGCAGCAGCTCATCCAGTATGAGCAGAAACTCTTTGGGAACACCAGCGTCAAGATGGTCCAGTCTCCGCTGGGGGTGATTCCAGACCTCTACGAACACGAAATCAGAGTCATGATTGCCCTGTGACCACCGCGGGGTGGCTGCTTTCCAGGCAGGAGGCACATTTGGAGCAAAATGAACGTCACCACTATCTTTAGTAAGTCTGAGATTTGTCAAACCCAGCACAGCGTGGAGCCTCGCAAGCAACCAGGATTTGTTGGTAAGGGGATGGCTCTGTGTGTTTTTCCTATAAATAAAGACAAGAAAAATTAGAAAAGAGACACACTTCAGTCTGATGCCTCATTTGCGCCTGGCGCTAAAGCAAATCCTTCAGGGATGCTGGAAAACTTCATTTTGGACAGCTGCAAATTCTGCTGCCTTACCCAGCAAAGCAGGCCATGAAGAGTGGCAGGGCAGGGGTGCAGCTGCCCCTGGAGGTAGCAGGCTCTAGCTTCTTTTGTCAGAATGTGCACACAGATTGTCTACCTCACCTTTTTGTTCCTGCTCAGAAGGGATAACCCTGATCTTCCCTTCCAGGGGCCAGGGGGAATCTTCTGGCTTGCAAATAGCACTGAGCCATGGTGTGGTTTCCATAATTCTGGCTTCTTGTTCTGCCTCGGTCTATTTCTGCAAAGCCACCGTAGGATGTTGATCGGTTACAAACCACACCTAGAGCCTCACAGATGGGTTTGCACATTCACCGCAGCTCACCGTGGCACCTCCAGGAACCATCTCGAGCGTTCCAGTCACAACTGCAGCCTGATGGGTTGCCACAAGAGCAGCCGAGAAATGAAACCACTTTGATGGTGAAGGGGGCAAGAGAGAAACAAACCAGAAGTAGAGGAAACAAGCTACGTTTTGTTGGTTTGTCCATCTGCAAGACAATTTATAACTAAAGTAACAAACCATAGTTACAATAAGCCGTGGCTTACTATAACTTGTGAAAGTAGGCAATGAATGGGAAGGTGTTAGGATAATGGAGTGAATGACACGTGGCACTTATATTTTATTAAAATGTGTTCAGTTAAACATATTAGGGTGCTTCTATTTCTGGGGGGTTGCATTAATGAATCACACCCTGCTGTTTTCTTCAGCACCCTACCCTGATCATATTTCCAACTCGAGTAGTGTAGCAAAAGAAGATTCTGGCTGTAAAATTACTCCAAAGTACTGATTGGAATACTGCCTGCCAACAGAGTCCTCTCCGGTCTCTCTCGTACTGCAATCCTGTCCTGCACACCTGGGAATAACGCCAGTTGAGCACAGTGGGGCTTGCTTCTGTGCAAGGCTGCAGAGGATCCCACTGTCCACAGAGCCCTGACTTCGTGTGTTGAGCCTCCTGCTTCTTCCCCTGCAGAGTTTTTTTTAAAATATTGCAAAGCAATCCTGAAAAAAGGGGAAGCACTCTTCGAATATATGAAAAGTGTGCTGCATTATGTACTTTCCACAATATCCTGTAAAAATAAGAGCAGTTTGATAAACGGAAAGATCCAAGCCTGTTTCCTCATAGTTGCCTTCAGCTTCTCCAAAGAGGTTTTTTAGCTCAGGAGGCAACGCCTGCATTTCCCAGCCACGCTGTCCGAGGGGTGAGGCAATTCTGATCCTGGGAGGGGAGAGGAAGCCTGTAGAAGACTGGAGTTTACTCTGAAGCTTGGAGAAGAAAAGGGGTCACGTCTCTCTTGGCAGAATGGAATCCACACAGTTCAGCCAGAAATTGGCACAGCCGGCGTGATAGTAGCTACCCTGGTGCATCACTGGGTCAGAGTTTCCAGCATGCGCCTAATGAGGGAAATTAAAAAAGAAAAGGCAATGAACAACGGGCCACGCTAAGCAAATGTCACATTTGCAATAACTGAGGAATTGGCTGGGAGGTAGAATTTATTTGTATGTATTTATTACTTTAGTGGGATGGCTGTATTTGCAAACTTCTTTGGAAATTTGACTAGAAAAACAGCATAAATATTTGAGGTAAATAAACCACACAGGATTACCTCTGGCTGCTGCTTCACCTCCGTTAGACAAACCCCACAGGCTTGACTGGGTGCAGGGCCAGGAACTGATGGGCAACCAGCGCTTCCAGCCGACGGCTCCCAGCCCTGCAAAGTCTGAGGCAGAGTCAACAGGACAAAGCTGAGTGCTGAGCCAGCCCTCCTCTTCTCCGCAAGCACAATCAGGAGAGGAGAGGAGAGGAGAGGGTGGCATTCAGTTTCAGAAAAAAGGACTCCAACAGAAAGATCCACACTGGGGGAGCAGGAAGGCATGCAAACGTGGGGGTGTTTTGTCCCCCCTTTTCTAATGCACTGTTCTATATAGCATCAGTTTTAACCCCGGCATCCTGAAGTAAGAGTTATTAATTCATCTGAAATGCCCCATTCAGACTGCTATTCGAAATTAATCCCTGTCAAATCTGCCCGCTCGAAATCCAGCCCACTTCTTTCCAGATCCATTTCCTGCTCTGCCACTAATGACAAGACCTGCCCCACAGTTTTGCAGGCCAGGAAACACCAGCAAAGAAAAGGCTGCTTGGTTCTAAAAGAGCCTCAGTACCCCTCTTGGTGCCCCTCCAAATACGTTAGCTTTTAGCAAAGTGGGGGAGTCACTTCCTGCAGAAGTAGCTGCCGGTGCCCCCATTTTTCCTTCCCCTCTGGGGCACTCATTCTGCACACAGAGGAGAACCCCTTACCAGCAGTGGGAACACAGACTGCCCAAGCACAAGGAAGGACAGTACATTATTCCAGGCCATGTCCACTTCACGCAAAGTGTGTTGCAGCAGCTCACTCGCTAGTTTCCGAGCCTTCATCCCCTCTTCCAGGCGCCTGGAGACACGGTACACCTCTGACAGCCCTGCACCAAGAAGAAACCATGAGGGGAGGCGCATCTAGACGACCCTGAGGCATGAGTGAGCAGGAAAGCAAGCTCCAGATGTTTTGGACTTCAACTCCCAGAATTCCTATCTGTCAGCCATGCCGGTGGGGGCTTCTGGGAGCTAAGCCAAGTTCTCCAGCCATCTTCCTTCTGTCCATCATGGCTCTAAGCCTTCCCCAATCCAGCAGCCTCCAGATGCCTTGGACTTCAGCCCTGGCCAGCACGGCCAATCACTGGGAATGCCAGGAGGTGTTATCCAAGCCACCAGGAAGGTGCCAGGGTTGGGGAAGGGTTACAACAAGAGGTTAGGTACGCCTACCACAGAATGAGGGGCCTGAAGAGGTCAAATGCGCTGCCCGTTTGCAGCAGGCAGAGCGCCAGGAAAGGCCTCCACTGAGCAGAGCCCAGCTCTGGATCCCACGGTCCCAGACTTTACCTGCACCGCCTCCAGGCGGGAGGGGAAAACCCTTCTGGGAACTCTGGAGAGCACCTGCCCGTCGGCACGTAATTCTGAGCCAGGTGGCCCCATGAACTGGCTCAGCAGAAGGACCTTGGTGATGCCCCCGTGTTGAAAGGACGCCCTGCCTGCAGAAAGCTAGCAAAGCAGGGGAAAAGCCAAGCTAGAGCTCCTCGCAAATAACCTTGTTACCTGTTCATTTTGTCTGAGGCTGATGGAAATTTTAAGATGGAAGAGCATTCAGAGCAAGCAGTTCCACCTGCGGTGGTTAGAACATTGGGTAGGGCTGCCAAGCCCAACTTTCAAGTCCATGCTGGACCATGGGACTCACGGAGGGGCTCGGCCTACCCCACCTCACGGGGTTGTTCTGAGGGGCAGTGCAGGGGGGCAGGCAGGATCATGTCCTCGAGCTCCTTGACAGGGACTAATCTGCCCCACTTCCACTCATCTCCTTGGAAGAACATGCTGACGGCTTGGGCCGGATGGTACAGCCCTCTCAGAGCCTCTCGGCAGGGTAGCTCCTGCTTAGGAACCCAGAACAATGCATTCTTATCATTGAATTCGGACTTGGGGTTGGGTTAGTCAGGTCAAAGGCCCAGAAAGATCAGGATGGAGAGCGCACATCCAGGAGAACAGGAGAGACCACAACACTGCCAGGCCTTTGTTGTGAACAGACACTGGTGCCGTACCCAGGATATACGCCGTCCCCGGAGCCGACAGCAGGACCTCCTTGCACACGGACGGCTGGCTGGTGCTGGCGAAGATCTCGCTGCCCTTCCCAATCACCTGCAGAGGAGACGGGGAGACGCGTGAGCAGACGGGTGGGACGGGTGTGGCAGAGCCAGTGGGGAGGATGAGGATGGCCGGCTGCAGGTGGCGGCGGTGGGGCCCTCAAAACCCCAAAGCCAACCCTGATCGTCACCGCCCCACACCAAGGCGCCGATCCCAGCTGCGACTCATCCCGAACTTACTCTGCTCTCCCTTGGACCCAGACTGGCACCGCTCCCGTTCCATGGGGAAAAGCTCAGCCGGGCTCATGCAGCCTGGGAGCAAGGACCTGTGGACTGTGGTCATGATCCAACCCTAGCACTGCACCAGGAACTAAACAGGAGAAAGGGTCCTGCTGTATCTGGCATCTCGGGTAGAAGCATCAAAGTGCAAAGAAAGGGGAAAGCAAGCCATCTCCTACCAGAAACCTGGCAGGGACACTGCTGGGGCAACCAGCCCCGTTCCTCCTGGGGTCCCCCAGATGTGTGGGGCTGCAGCATGCACTGGCAAATGGTGGGTTTTCCTGTGCAGCACATCTGGGGGCAGGCCCTTGGTGGGACAAGGACAGAACCAAGAGCAGCTCTGGGCCTTCATGAGAAGTTCGGGGCCTGCTCCGAGGGCCACCTCCTGAAACCAGCATGGAAAGAGGGGAAAGGCCTTCTCCTCCTCCAACGAGAGCGTGACGAAGGGGCCTGCCACGCAGCAGGACTCCCGCTCCCGGGCCTCTCTCAGAAATGCAGCTGTGACCTCATCCGTGGGAGCAGCAGGGCAACTGGTGGGCCTCCCTTGCTCTGGTGAGTGACCAGGCGGATAACACGGCTTCCCAGTTTTACAGGTTCTGTGGCACGAGCCAACTGGCCATCAGAAAATGAGGAAAGGAATCAAGTGGAGGCGAACGCTTCTCCCCTTTCCTTTGATGCGGTTCCACTTTCATGCCCACAGTGGAAATGGTCACACTGCTTGGCAAATGCATTGCCCCACGACTTCCGCATTGCTGGGCAGGGACCCTTCCTGGCTCTGCCTGGGGATGCCGGGGACGGAAGCCAGTGCCCTCTGTAGGCAGCACCTGCCACGGCCCGGCTCTGCGCCAGCTGGGGCAGGACCGGCTGGTGCTGCCATCACAGTGAAAGCCAACCAAGCTGCCACGGTCTGGCCATGCCTAATGCAGAGGGCAAGAGGGGAGGCCCCGGAAGGCAGCAGTGCGCAGCAGCATCATGCGGGCTCTTTGGACCCACTTGGTGCCATGTTCTGCGCACAGACGTGCTGAGCTTGGACAGGCCAAGGGCTACCTTGTCCTTCATTACTTGCAAGCGCTGCCCTGGTCTGCTCTCCAGTTTTAGGAATGCAAACATCATTTGGCATTTTTAATTACAATTTTGAGAAGTGCAAAGATGATCCTGAAAATGTGTTGATGACACAGAAATGCAACACAGAATTGAGGAAGGTGGGGCCAGCCCTACCCTTGGGCAGCATGAGGCGCCCACCTCAGGCAGCAGAGGCTGGCAGGCAGGACAGAGGGCAGCCAGTGTTTGGGGACAGACTTGTCTTGCACGCCTTGAGCCTGGCAAAGGATGCTGCTGAAATCCTGACATCAGCCACCTTCTGCACCTGGAATGGAACGAAGGTGCCCTCTTGCCCTCTTCCTCAGGCAGCGAAGCGCACTGGGGCAGCAGGCTGTGCCGGGAGGCTCCGAGAACGTTTCCTTGCAGGGCTGCCAAGCAGCAGCTCATCCAGTGCTTCGCATCTTTGTTCCTCTCTGCATAACCACCCCTTCTCTCTGCCTCCCACTCTTTCTCCAGCACTTGCCACAGGCAAAGCAAACAAGGAGTTGGAAACACAGGCCTTGAAAGCAGAGAACATTATGCAAGGCATAAACGGCGTTTTCTTGAAGGGTGCCAAGTCCCAGGAGAACAGACGGGAACAAAGGGGATGACCCAAATACAGGCCACTGTAGGTGCCATTTCACGGCCTGACCAGCAGGGGGAAGTCGACTGCAGTCGGATGGAAAGTAGTAATCCCGCAATCCGCGCTAAGCGCTTTATATCCATTAAAAAGCGGGGGAAGGCAACGAAGGATATCCATGAGGACTGCAAAGCAAGATAAATGTAACTTCTAAGAATAGCTGGAAGTGGGTTCACCACTGCCCAGAAGCCGCCTTAGGCTGGCCGATATCAACTGCCGTCTTCTGGGCTGGAGGCTGTTTTCATTTTATTGCCGTTGTGTTTAGTTGTGTTTTACTGCACATGTTTTATTCTTTTAGGGCACATGGGTAGGCAGCAAAGGAGCCCTCTGGTTCCCAGCAATATGGCTGGGGAGTGTGGGAGTTCTAGGACTTTTTCTGTCTAAATGTGCATGGAACCGCATGCACGCATTCCATTTTGGATTGTAAATCGGAGTGGGAGGAAAACAGAGCATACCAATGCGAATGGGAGGAGGAGGCAGGACTTAGGTAGTTGATGTGGTATACGTATCCTCCTTCTAAAGAGCTAAGGGTGCAGTGAAATATCCGGAGCTGGGGTAGGCAGGAGTTCCAGGTCGGGCACTGCTGGACATGGGCTGGTGAGCAGGACCGAGTTTCCGACTGGGAGGGGCTCTTCCATACATAAAACTGCAACAAGCCACAGCAGCCGTTCTTAACCAGGCCATTCTCATTTTTGCATCACTGTGTAACTGTAAAAAGCATGAATGAGAATTTGCAATTGCAAATACCCATTGAAATACATTTTCTCTCAAAATACATATTACTAAACTGAATGGCGGGGGAGCGTTAAGATGCCTGCACCCGCACATTTGGGACCTGTGAAAAACAGTAGCTAATTTAAGTCCCAGTGCACCTATTTGTGTGTAATCTGGACTGTTTGGGCAGAAATCCTATTCTCCAGGAACTGCTACCATGAAGTGCTCTCCAGACAAGACCTTCCTCATGCAAGTACCTACCACTTTTTTTGGGGGGGGAGGCTACATGAAGGCATCCATCAGCACCTACCCATGTTTTCCTATCATTTAGTACTACCTGTACAGGATAACTAAAGGAACGCCTGCAGCCATATTTGCCCTCCCGCCCCTTGAGATCAGCAGCAGAGGCTCTCCTCCGGGAACCCTCCGTGACAGATATTAGGAGAGTGAGTACCTGGAGGAGGGCCTTCTCTGCAGTGGCGCCCCATCTATGGAATGCACTCCCCAGAGAGGTCCACCTGGCGCCGTCATTATTTGTATTTTGGCGCCAGGCCAAGACCTTTTTATTCAAACATGTTTAATATTTATATATTTTAATTGTGCAGCCAATGTGTTTCCAGGTTTTAATTGTAATTCTAATTGTTTTATTTGTTACTTTTGTGAGCCGTCCCAAGGCTATGTAGCAAAGGGACGGCATATAAAAATTTTAAATAAATAAATAAATATTCAGACTTAGAGTTTTTTTTCATTTTTTTTTTTCAGAAAAAAATGAGGGAAGAAGAGATTGAGAAAACACGGGATGGTCACAAATAGAAGCTAATACTATCTGGACCTCCCATAAAATTCTATGAATCAGGCAGTGTGATTCTGCAGTAAAAACTAAACAAAAAGGCCTACATCAGAAAGCACCCAACAGGAGGCATTTCTCGTGCACGGAATGTCCTCTCCTCATTTTTATGGGTTCTTTGGATGACATTGTGACTCATCAATTTCACTTCTGTGTCTAAAGAGGATTTTTTAAAAAAAAAGAGCAGGGAAGATGCATTAATAGTGAAGGTGAAAAAAAAATGCTTTTTCTACCAGCCTACAAAATTTGGTTTGTGCTATTCCACTACAGAATGCAGAATTCCAGAGAATAGCTAGAAGAGATAAGAATGCCTTCTTAAATGAACAGTGCAAAGAAATAGAAGAAAACAATAGAATAGGGAGGACCAGAGATCTCTTCAAGAAAATTGGAGATATGTAGGGAACATTTCATGCAAAGATGGGCATAATAAAGGACCAAAATGGCAGGGACCTAACAGAGGCAGAAGACATTAAGAAGAGGTGGCAAGATTACACAGAAGAACTATACAAGAAAAGTCTTAACATCCCTGATAACCACGATGGGGTGGTCACTGACCTCGAGCCAGACATCCTGGAATGTGAAGTCAAATGGGCCTTAGGAAGTCTGAGCAACAACAAAGCTAGTGGAGGTGACAGTATTCCAGCTGAGCTATTCAAAATCTTAAAAGATGATGCAGTAAAAGTGCTACACTCAATATGCCAGTAAATTTGGAAAACTCAGCAGCGGCCACAGGATTGGAAAAGGTCAGTTTACATTCCTATCCCAAAGAAGGGCAATGCCAAGGAATGTTCAAACTACCGCACCATTGCACTCATTTCACATGCTAGCAAAGTGATGCTCAAAATCCTACAAGCTAGGCTCCAGCAGTATGTGGACCGAGAACTACCAGAACACAGGCAGGATTTCGAAGAGGGAAAGGAACTAGAGATCAGATTGCCAACATACGCTGGACCATGGAGAAAGCTAGGGAGTTCCAGAAAAACATCTACTTCTGCTTCATGACTATGCTAAAGCCTTTGATTGTGTGGATCACAACAAACTGTGGCAAGTTCTTAAAGAGATGGGAGTACCAGACCATCTTATTTGTCTCCTGAGAAACCTAAATGCGGGTCAAGAAGCAACAGTGAGAACTGGACACGGAACCACTGATTGGTTCAAAATTGAGAAAGGAGTTCGGCAAGGCTGTATACTGTCGCCCTTCCTATTTAACTTATATGCAGAGCACATCATGAGAAAGGCAGGACTAGATGAATCACCAGTTGAAATTAAGATTGCTGGGAGAAATATCAACAACCTCAGATATGCAGATGATACCACTCTCATGGCAGAAAGTGAAGACGAAAGAGCCTCTTGATGTGGGTGAAGGAGGAAAGTGCAAAAGTTGGCTTGAAACTCAACATTAAGAAAACTAAGATCATGGCATCCAGTCCTCTCACTTCCTGGCAAATAGATGGGGAAGAAATGGAGGTAGCGACAGATTTTATCTTCCTGGGCTCCCAGATCACCACAGACAGGGACTGCAGCCAATAAATTAAAAGATGCTTGCTCCTGGGGAGGAAAGCTATGGCAAATCTAGACAGCATACTAAAAAGCAGAGTCATCACCCGGCCAACAAAAGTGTGTATAGTCAAGGCTATGGTTTTCCCAGTTGCAATGTATGGCTGTGAAAGCTGGACCCTAAGGAAGGCTGAGCGCCGAAGGATTGAGGCCTTTGAATTGTGGTGCTGGAGGAGACTCCTGCGAGTCCCTTGGATTGCAAGGAGATCAAACCAGTCAGTCCTAGAGGAGATCAACCCTGACTGCTCTTTAGAAGGCCAGATCCTGAAGATGAAACTCAAATACCTTGGCCACCTGATGAGAAGGAAGGACTCCCTGGAGAAGAGCCTGATGCTGGGAACAATGGATGGCAAAAAATGAAGGGGGTGGCAGAGGATGAGGTGGCTGGATGGAGTCACTGAAGCAGTGGGTGTGAGCTTGAGTGGACTCTGGGGGATGGTGGAGGACAGGAAGGCCTGGAGGAATGTTGTCCGTGGGGTCGCGATGGGTCAGACACGACTTCATGACTAACAACAACAACAACATTATTCCACTACACCACACTGCCACCTAGAGGTAATGTAGTAGAAAAGCAAGAAGGGGAACTTCAGGTAGTGTTTGACCTCAATTCTGCAATGAAACTGAAAGTAGATTAACAGCACTGCATAGAAATCTCTGCATCTCGGAAAACTGTCTTATTCTACACAGGCACAGATTAAAGGGCGCAAAAGAGCTGGTCTCCCATTTGTGATCCAGCCTCTGAATTAATTTAGCTTTATGGCCAAGACCGACTTATCAAAGTTTATTTATTGTTGTAAGCCGCCCCGAGGCTTCGGCGAATGGGGCGGCATAAAAATGTTTTAATAAATAAATAAATAAAGTAAATGTGACTGAGTGGTGTATTTCACAGCACACCTGCAGGAAGCTAAAATACTCTCAGATCCGGGCTGGCATGCAGGGGTAAGTTCAGGTTACTGGCAGGAGGGAATGAGAATCACTGCAGGAAGCAGGCTGAGAGATCAGAGAGACAGAAAACCAGGCAGTGAGTGATTAACAGAGAGACGCATTACCTTATGGATCTGCTGCAGGCATCGCATGAGACGGGCAGTCTCAGGATCCATCTGCCACAGCACACTGGAAATGAAGAAGAGAGGTGGCAAGAGCCACATGGCATTGCTCAGCCAGCACTGCTCACCTCTGTGCAAGCACAAGTGTTCCCATGGCTTTACGCTTCCCAGAGAGCCTTTGTCCCCGACAGTCATGTGTGCCATGCATCTCTTCCAGGTGTGCCCGTGGGTGTCAGGGAGAGCAGCACCCCAAAAAGAGAAAAGACGCAACCCTTCTACAGATTTGAAAGGGTGCCTGTGAAGGCTTGGAGGCACGCAACTCTGGAAAGACTCTGGAAGTGGACGGGCGCCCATGCAAGCGGATGTGGCAGTACTGTGCCAGCTCAGGGGTCTTTCGTTTGGTTTAGTTCCGAAGTCGTGCCCGACCCTTCACGACCCCATGGCCACCCTTCCTCCAGGCCCTGGGCTCCTAGGGGACGTCAGAGGAGACCCTCTCTGTGGGCTGCTCTTCCCTGAGCCACGGAGCCCTCCCTTCCCGCCACCAGTGTCACCCGTTTCGGTTGTCTGCAGCAAGCAATTTGGGAGGGTGAAGCGGGGAAGCGACGCCTTGGTCGCAGGCAGGCGACGCCCCCCCCCCCCCCCGCCGCTGGGAGAGCGCAAGTATCTAAAGTTTTCCATGGGACGCATATCAACAGCCGCGCATATTTGCAAAGGGTGTAGTTACAGACAACGTATGAAAGCTGGCAACTAAGGGCGCTTTTTTAAGCAAAAAAGGGGGCTGCAGTTGTGCTGCCTGGAGCATGCTGGGAGTTGCACGCTTTTCCCTGCCTAAACAGGACCGTGCTTTAAGTAAAATACTTTCCCCTGATCTTTATAAGCCACCAAAAACAGGATCAGCTTTTCTTTCCTTCTTCCCAGCACTTCTGTCCTTCTTCCCTTTGGAAGGAGAGCCACTGCCTGATAGCTTGTTATATACAGCAGAGCCCGATCACACACCTTTCCTCCGTATTACCCTAAATTTCACTTAACACCAACGCACGATCCTACAAAGGGAAAATCCGCGGCAGTTTGGGACCCCCGGCAAATCCTCTGCTTACCTGGCGGTGCATGAGACGTGGCTGCCCAGCCTTCCTCCCAAAAAAGGGGGCTGAACCGGAACCCGTCAGTTCTTCTGCCTTCGCCGAAGGTCGCTTTGTGCCTCCCCCCGCGTCACGTGACGCAACCCAGACTCCGAGCAAGCAGCTCGTCCCACCTGAGCTCCGCGTAATCTCCTGGGGTCACCAAGCGCCCGGAGCACCTGGGGCTGGGAAGAAGCTCGAGGAAGTCCAGTACCCCCGACACCTTCTGCTTGGTCCGTGCTTTAGAAAGCAGCCTGGCACGAATGCAACACGTGAGGCTTTTCCTGGCCCGGAGGAGACGCCCCCAGGAACTGGGGCACCTGCTGAAAACCTTCTCATTTTCCCAGGCATTTTGCTTTATTCAGTTCCTGTTTTAGATCTGATACTGAATTTTAAATGCAAGAGAAAGGGGGCATAGTGTAGTAATAGTAACAGCAACAAACCACGCTCGGTTGGTTGCTATTATTAATTTCACACTGTTGTTTCAAATGTGTATCTTTACCATCTTGTATTTTATGCTTTTAACAGTCACAAACTATGCAGGGCTTTGATTTCTGCGATGTACACAAATGCAATAAATGAGTAAAAAATCTTTCTCTTTTCTGTAGTCTATTCCTTTTAAGAAAACAATAAAAATATTTTAAAAATAAGTTGTTGAGTCTAATCTGCACTTTCCAGACAGCTGTTAAAGGCACAGGAGCCCTGACTGAAAAAATGCAAACAGTTTACATATTTAAAATATTCTCTAGGAAGCTTTTTGGGCTGAAGTTCCTAAGCCTGAAGTTCCCTATTACAAAAGTAGTAGGAACAATCCAAAATATGTAGTGAGTTAATGTCTTCATAATCCACCATCATCCATCAAGGTCCACATTCGACAAGAACTCTTCATTGGGCCAGGTGGTTCCAAAAGCAGGATAGTGGTTCAGAAAAGGGAGTGCCGGCCCTTCTGAATGCAAATCCCAATTCCGGAGCTGCAACTTTCCCTCAGCTGCCTCTGACCAGTATTTGGGGCTGGCAGCACAGTGCCCTGGGGTTCCCAGGGCCCCCTGAGCATCACATGGGGACAGAGGTACAGAGGCGAAGATCACCTCTGCTTCTCCAGCCCTGCAGAAGACTTTTGTACCTGCTCATGAGGAGGACAGGCTGAGACCCCACCAGGAGGGAAGGCTGAAGGGCACAAGGTCCCAACAGAGCATCATCCCTCCCCTCCCCTCCCCTCCCCTCCCACTCAGAATGCACCCCAGCCCCGCTCCAGGGCCATTCCCCTGATCCTTTCCACCCTTAGCAGTGCTGGAACAGGCTGGCAGCTGCGGGCCTTTTTCCTGTCTTTAATTGCAGAGCCTTGCTCTCTTAACTTCCTTGCATCCATCTGCTGTTAAAAGCATGACAGCCAAAATAAGAGGTGGCAGCTTGAATGCCTGTGACTGAGCAAAGTGTTTTGGTGTGTTTACAGGAATAAACGCATCTCTTTCCCACTAACTATCATGGAACAGTAGAGTTGGAAGGAGGCAGAAGGCCATCAGGTCCACCGCCCTGCTCAGTGCAGGACTCCAGGTTGAACCATCCTCTCAGAGGCATCTTCAATGCCTCCAGTATGGAAGAGCCCACCGCCTCCCTAGGTTATGGGTTTCATTGTCAAATATAATATTAAAATTCCAGTACAATGACAAGCTGTAGCCATAAACAGCTAAAATAATTTCCATGCTAAGGAACACTTGAGGCCTGTTATGCATAGAAAAGATTCAGCCAAGGCTAGAAAATGTGGCTGGTTTTTCCCCCTAAAATCTGTTGCTGCTGCTGCTGTTTCTGGCCATTTGTGATGCAATTTATGGCATTCTTTTAGATTTTTCTTTGAATGGCTGCTTTGGGGGGCCTTGCCCAGAAAAAGCGAGGGCTGCAGTGAAGAGGGCAGAGAACTCTGGGCTGAGGCAGTGGTGTTTATTCACGATGCCGCTTTTCCTCCCACCAGAAACCGGGGGCTTCTTTTGGTGTGTGAGGGAGAAATATGGCAGACTGATGCAGCTTTCTGCAGCTCTGGGAATGCCACATTTACAGACCTTTTTTCTTCTTTTGGGGTCCTGGTGCCTTTACCAACTGATGATAGACATCCAAAAAGTACAGCATTTCCTGACCTGAACATGCAAAGATCGGGACAGAAGGCTTTTCCTGTGAATTTTCTGCTACATTATAGTATTAGAGGCCTAGGGGGCCCTGCCTGGCTGGGGAAAGAGGGAAACCCTAGAACACAATGTTCCTGGTACACGGAAAAGCCCTGTTCTAACAGCTACTTCATGCCAGGGGAGCGTAATCTTGTTAATCCAAACTCAGGGGGAGGAGGTAGGGTAAGCTCCAAGCAAGCTTGCTTTCCTTCCCAGTCTTCTTTCTGGGAACAGAAAGATGCTGATCTGACTGTATGGAAACCCTCATCAATTCAAGAAGCCTGTAATTATCCAGGGAATGGCAGGAGAACCTTCTGGAATGTTCCCATTTCACATTGGGGTGCAGCAATGAAAGAACTGGGCTTCAGCCTGGAAAATCTGAGTTCACCACTAATACAGACACACCCTGTGACTTTGAACAAGTCCCTAGTTCTCTGCCTCCGTTAGCTCAAATATGTAGTCAGGTCCTCTCATCACAAGCTCCTAAGCAAGCTCTAAAAGACAATGAAAGTTCTTCCTCATCCCCTCACCATGTTGAACTACAACTGCCATCATTCCCAGACCTTGGCAACAGTGGCTGAGGATGATGAGTGTTGTATTCCAGCACATCGGGAGGGAACAAAGATCCCTGCCTTGGAAGAAATTGCATAGCAGAGATGGGTGCTCATGTGCAGATATGTCTCTACCCGCTGTGGCTGCTGCCAGTTGCCAGCTGATCCCTTCAAAGGCGTTCCAACTGCTTCTGTGCCATAAGATGAAACTGTTTAACAGCACATGGCCATCTACTAACATCCGCAGCTCAAGAAGTATTTCAACAGCACAGGAGTAGTGCCTGTAAAAATGGGTGCGTCTCTTTATAGCCTGCAACTATTTTGGGATTGCAGGGGGTCCAAAGGGAGGGGCTGACGCAGGCAGTCCATTTTGCAGCATCCCAAGCACAAGCCCGGCTTGCCTATCAATTTCATGGGAAAAAAACCATAATAATTTGTACATGCCAGGCTGCTGTCAAAGACAGGAGTAGGACCAGAGAAAATGGGCCCGCCACCCCAGGCCAAAGTCCTTCGCTTCTCCCAACACAGACCTACAAAGGGTGCACCGAAACCAAAGCAAGGCCAGTGGGCGCCACCTGTGCTTTTAATACGGCATTCGAAGCTGCTTGTGGCGGCTTGGTGGCTCACTGAAGGCATGTCCTGGAGCAGCAGGATTTTTGCAGGGGAAAACTCGGCTGGCTGCGCGGAACGCCGGGACGTGTGGGGATCATTTCTGTCTCAAAACGCCCAAGATTGCATTCTGGGGGACCTTTTGTTTTTGCACCTTCTTTTGGACAGGCCAGCAGTGTGATGCCTGCCAATATATATTTTTAGTTTTAATAAAGGGGGGGAAAGCCACTGGTCTCTATTAGGGCCATTTGATGTTACTGAATTCCACATGATGTCTGGAATAAATGGTTTTCCTCTGTACGTGGGATGGCCCGGACTTGACTTTGCTCCGGGCTGTGGGGAACCCTTGCAGGCTCGCGGTTGCCGTAGCAACAGGCTGTGCTGGGCTGGGCAGGAAGAGCGAGGCCGGCCATGCCAGCTTTCTGGGGCAAAAACCTCTGGGAATCATCCTGCACCCTGCGGGAAGGCAGTCTGCTCTCCTGAAATGCTGGCTCCTTTTCCCACTCACCCTTCTGTCTTCTGCCGCCGAGGGGAGGCGGGGGCGGCAGCCCTCCCTGCGTCATTCCTCCCTCAGCTCCCTTCCTCTCCCCCTCAGGTCGCTCAAGGACGCCACACGCACATACAACAAAAATAGAGCTTTATTCGAAGGGCAGACGCAATCCGAGAGGCCAGCCGGCTCCGTTGTGCTCCTGTGACGAGAGGGTGTGCCGGGCTTCGGCCACTGCGGCTGGCATCTCGTTGCAAATGGCGCGGCCGTACCGTCTGCAAACCCGACCGACAGTCCTGGATGGCAGGGGCCACAGGTCCTGTGACTGCAAGGACTGGGCATGGCTGGAAGAAAGGAGGCCTGCTGGATGCAGGATGCATGCGATCCTGAAGAAGGCTAGCCCTGGGCATCCGGAAACACGCCAACCCTCCCACGCTGGGATGCGGAGCACTCTGCCAGCTCAGTTTCCCTTCTGAGCCACGACTGTGATCACTTTCAGAAAGTTGTTGCTGCCACACCTCTCCTTCAAGGGGCACAGGATGGCACACATGATTCTCTGCCACCTCTATCCTCACAACAACCCTGTGGGGTAGGCAGGCTGAAAGAGAGGGTTGGTTTGGGTGTAACAGTCCCAGATTCACAAAGCGTTGTTCATGAAGCCAGGCCCACATGTTCTCTCCCTCCCCTCCTGGCTTCAGTGTTTCCGCCCTAGCAAAAGTAAACCATGATTGTTCTCTATATTTGAAGCAGAAAACTGCGGCTTGATGTCTGACCACTAACCAGGAACTGAAACCGTGGTTTAACAAAGCCATGCTCGTTGCGTCCTGCAGGTTCCGCGTGGCCAGTCCCAGTGGTCCTTGTGGCTGTGCGGGGGTTTCACCTCAGACCCCCCTCATCCTAGCAACCTGAGATGGGAAACGTCGTGCTTGGTGTGGGAGCTGCTACCTGGGGCCCCGGTCCCCACTCTGCCTGGACATGTGTGGATGCTCAAGGAAAGGGAGGCGAATTCCCAGGCAGGCGCTGCCTCCTTCCGTGGTACGCCACGGAGTCCAGAAGCCACAGCAGCACCCAGGTGCCGCCCGCCAGTGCTTCGCACCCTCCCCAGGGCCAGTTGGAAGTTTCTGGCAAATCTCAACCCGTTACCCAGCAGTGCCGGGGCAGCTCCCTCGGCCACCGCACTCGAGGGGGCCTGGTGGGTGAAGGGAGCAAAAGCATCTGACCCTTCGGCTCATTTGGATACTGCGGTGCGGTGCCTCGTCTTTTAGCGAGGTCCCTCCATGCTCTGCATCGCTACCCCCAAAAGTGCGCAATTCGGATGTCTGCCTCAGGCGTACGTCTAGGGCCATCCAAAGCTGTCCCATAAGCGCTGGCTTTATACTGGCAAAGTCACCCATCGATTTACCTCCAACATGGGTTTGTCCGGTGGTCCATAATTCCAAACCATTCTGGCTAAACCAGGCTGGTTCAGGATTAGACAGAAAAAGTCCTATAATGCATTGTAATAATAATTATTAATATTAACAATTATTGAATAATTATCAATATGTTAACAATTATTGAATAATTATCAATATGTTAACAATTATTGAATAATTATTATCATTTTGATAATATTGAATAACAACAATTAACATTTTATTAACAAGTAAATAGCAATAATTATTATTCCCAGCATTCTTGACCTAGCTGTGGTCACTGCAAGACTTCATTCCTGTCTGAACCTGCACCCTCAGCCATTAAGTTTTTTATGCCCAAGTCCAAAACTGCTTGCATTGCAGAGTTCCACCTGTCACACAAGTGCCGGCTTGGCCTGCTGAAATCCCAAGAAGCGCCAACACTGAAGGTCAAGTAACCGCTCCTGCGATGGCAGTCATGAACCCTTGCAAGAGCAGCGTCATGTGTGAACCCAACCAGTGAGCACCGTGAAGGGGGAAACGGGGACCTCCTTTGGCAGGAGTGTTGGAGAGCCCCCCAGCCCCCCCCCCCGCAGATAAATCGCACTGTGGAGTCCCATTTCAGAGATGCAAGACCGAACGGCCCCTCCCCTGAAGAAGACTTCTCCCTGCATGTAGAAAACTAGCAGTGTTGCTTAGCGGGGGGGGGGGGGGAATTCACACGCACCGCCTCACCCCGCAGGCTGCCACGGCGTGGGTCATGGGATCCTGCGCTGCGATTCTGTGGGCGTGTGAAGATTGGCCTAGGCCCCCAAATCCCCGCAGACTCTCCAAAGGACAATACTGGCCATGGTGACCCACCACCGTGGGCTTTCTGAATGCCTTTTATGAAGGATGGCAGTAAACTACCCCGTGGGAAGTGTACTTGGGAATGGATCCCCGCAGGGCTGAAACACGATTCCCGCCACCCGCCAAAAGCAAAGTGCGAAGGAGCAGCCAAAGGCAGGTGCTTTCCGCACCATTTCCACTGCAGGAAAATAATACCGAGTGTGGGGAGCTTCTGCACAGGGCTTTCTCTCCACAGTCTCCCTGCCTCTTTCAAAGGGGCTCTGAAAGTCAGTCTCCCACGTGATTCCCGGCACCTCGCACCCTTCTTCTTCCTGCAGGAAATCCATTAAGGAAGGAAAGACAGAAGGGCTGCGGGGGCCCGCCAGTGGCCTGGTGCCAGGACCCATCCCACGGAAGTGCCCCGTGCCCGCACGCCCACACACACACTCAGGCCAAAGCAAATACTTTCCGGGGCTGCTGCGCTCTGCCCAGCAGAGTGAGGCAATATAGCCTTCCCAACAGGTTACCCTGCACCACTCGCCAAAGGATGCTGGCGACCGAGTGTACATACAACCGCAGCCCCCGCACACACGCTCACACTCGCACCCTAATTCACTCCATCCAGCAGAGAGCAGTCGTGGAAAAGAGACGTACATCCCATTGCACAATATTCACCCACTCACTGACAGTCATGAATAGAAATGACCCCCCCACTTCCTGAGGGGGGAGCCCTTCCTCCACCAGAGCATGCCCCCTGCTGCAGCTGCCCCAGGGGCCAAGTGCAGTGCCCTGGGACCAGACAGACTGGGTGCTGGTGCTCCCGTGGGGCCACAGGGACTCTGCACCACTCCTGTTCATGGGCAGTAGCCCCATGAGGCCTTCACAGCAGCTGAGGGGCTTGCAGAGGTCAGAAGTACAATACAGCCCCCCCCCAAGTTATTTCAGAGAAGAAGACACCTGTGGCCCCAGGGGCCTCCCAAATCCAAGGGGCCCTTAAGCCACAGACAGCAAACAGATGGGATTCAGCCACCAGAAGAACCCTCAGCCAAGACGTCGCGTGTGCCTCAAAAGCCTCCTCATACATTTCCAGGATCCAAAATTGCTTGCCAAATATCCAGCCCTTCACTGAGGAGCTCGAGCAGCTGGTGCCAAAGGGAGCTGCGGGGGCAGCCTTCCCGCCTGGGACTCGCCCCCTGGGCTGGGCTGGGCAGGATGGGAGACGCAAGCCACACACCCGAGAGCCCAGGCCGGGAAAGGCAGTGCCAGGCGCCACCCTGGCCCCCCCGGCTCTCTCCTCAGAGGCTGCCTGACCGAGTCATCTTCTGGCTGGCAGGCGTTTTTTCAAAGACCGGGGAGGAATTCGAACAGGCAGCCTCCCAGACGCTTCCGGCGGCCCCAGACTGCCTGCAGCAGCTCTTGCCCGCTGCATGGCATGGCTCGGACAGCCGGGGGGCGATCATCTGGGACACAGGGGCCTTAAGAGGCGTCTCCCCGTGGCCGGCTGCGGCCACCCTTCCTCCCAGAAGGGGGCTGTTTTCCCGTGGCCAGAGGCGACGCCCCCCGCACGGTGCCAGCCAATCCCAGGCCTCACTCCTCCTTGGCCCGCCCGGCCCGCAAGTGCCAGCAGGTGGCCACGCGGTGGCAGTGATGGTAGAGGAAGACCCCCGAGAGCGTGAGGACGATCCCCGCGTAGCCGAGCCAGGTCATGCGGCTCCCGAAGAGCAGGTGGGAGAGCAGCAGGTTGCCCACGACGTTGAAGTTCCCCAGCACGTGGATGGTGAGGGCGGACGTCAGCGAGATGACGGAGAAGCTGGCCAGGTTGTACAGCACGGAGCCGAGGCAGCTCAGCAGGACGCAGGCCCAGAGGCCGCCGCCGTAGGCCAGGGTGCCGTCCCAGGCGGGGCCGACCTCCAGCGCCAGGGCCGCCACGAAGAGGATGCAGAAGCTGGGCAGGGAGGTGAGGCGCAGCAGGGTCAGCGAGTCCAGGTGCTCCTCCTGCAGCAGGACACCTGTGGAGAGAGGCGGGCGTCAGGCAGAGCCGGCCACAGCCTGGCACCCTCAGGGGTGGCGGGGGGAACACTGCACAAGGGGCTCGAGTGCTTTCGGGCCGTTCGCACACATGCGGGGCAGCTCCCGCTCCCCTCCGGAGCCAGTGGGGCGGAGGGTGCAAGGGCTGCGCTGGGATCCGGGTTCTGGCAAACCTCACTGGGAGACTCCTCAGACCCTCAGCCTGACCCACCTCACTGGCTTCTTGGTGTGGGGATACAGGCAAGGTGGCGAAGCTTGTAAGTGGTCTCGGGTTCCTTGCATGGGGAAGAAAGGCGGGATAGAAACGTAATATCCTCAGAGGGGTGTGAGGAAGAGACAGCGAGGAGGAGGATTGTGTGACCACCTTGTGTTCCATGAAGGAAGAAAGGCAGGATGCAGATACAATGAAAATACACACTAGGCCTCACTGGATAACGCCCCTCACTCTCAGGCTTTTGTTCAGAGCCGGCAGGAGATGAGTGAGAATCAGGGGCCCCAGGCCCCAGCAGAGAATCTCTCGCCCATCCTTAATCCCAGCATTAAAAGGGATGGTACTGGCCACAGCAGGGCCGTTCTCCCTGGGGAGTGGGATTCTGAGCTGAAGGAAGCCCAGCTCACCCTGCGCAACAGCCTCAAACCATCCTCAGGAATCGCCCCCTCTTTCTCAGGCCACTGTGAGGACATCCTGTAGCCTGTGTGTCTATCAGTATTAGCACCCTGCAGACAAGCTCCCAGCACAGGACAGGATGGGGCCATGTTGCGGAAGCTTGCGTTCGGCAAGGACCAGTGTGAATGAGAGAAGAACAAATGGAGAATAATGAACATCGTAATTCCTGCAGAGAAAAGGCTAGGCACAAAACATTTTCTCTGAAAGATCTGAGCACGGTTTTCGCTCCCCAGCCTGTGGACATCTTGCACCCTTCCTGCCCAAAGCAGGGCCTGCTGTCCAAAGTGCAGGGCAGATAAGGAACTCCCTCACTCTGTGAGCTTCTCTCTCCCCCCCGCCCCCCCCCCACACACGCAGGAAATTCTTTATCTCCTTAGAAACACAGAATAAGATTGGGATGCAGTAGGAATGTTTGCTGCCCAAGCAACACTGAGCTAAAAGCTTGGGCTTGCTCTATATTTTCTGCAGAATAAACTTTCCTTCGCTTCCTAAGAGTGAGAGAGAGAGACAGAGAGAGAATGCACACATGCACAAAAACAGGGTTTCTTCTCTCTGGCACTGCGGCTTAAAACCCAGCAAAAAAATCCTGAACCTTTTGGCGATTTCCTGGCATTTTGCTGCACTTTCCCCTTTCTCAAAGATTGACCCTCACCCCACCACCCGGCAAGAGCTCATTACTGGCAACACCAGCTTTAAGCTACGCTCTCAACACTTTCTGCCTTTGATCCTGCCCTGCCACAGAGCTCCCCCCACCCGTACCGCCCAATGAATTTGGCCCTTGGGCTGAAACAGGCACCTCCCCCCCCCCCCCCCCGCTGCACTGTGAGCGCTGCCCTGAGAACTATGTTGCTGGAGAGCAGAATCGATGTCTTCAAAGCAGAGGCAGAAAGTGCCTCACCACTCCGTGTCTGCTGGGCACCATCAGGACCGGCTTCCTGGTGCTCCTGCCGGAAACCTGCTTTCCCGCTAACAGTGGGACTTGCAAAGCCCGCAAAACATGGACATCCTTCCTGTCCTTGTAGAGGGGCTGAAGGCATGGCTGCTGATCTCAGCTGCTGCAGACTGGTCCCCAGCTGCCAGAGCTGATATGGCCAGCAGGGCTGATTCACAGGAAAACCTCATGAGGTCTAGCACACGAGCAAGCACTTGAGAAACATCAGCATCACTGGTGACTGGCAGCACCCTCAATGTCACCCAAACCTTTTCTATGCAGAGCAGTAACCAGAGCTGAGCCTTTGGGAGAGGTGCAGACAAGGTTTGGATGGTTCGACATGGGGGCAGGCAGGATGGAGCGGGGCAAAGCAGCCCTGTTCACTGGGGTTCTCCATCAGCAGCCCTGGGGACCCTACGCCCTCACCTTGCGATTGTGTGAATGGCAAGCATAGCAGGGGGCAGAACAGATGGGGGCTGCTAGAGCAAAGGGCTGAAGCTCCTTCCACCCCCAGGCCCAGCCTGGATTGCCTTCCCCATTTTTTTAAAAGATAGACACTTGCCTGAAAAAGGGGGTGGAGAGCACGGCCCTCAGACCAAGTCCACCAGAGATGCTCCTTTTGGACACATCAAAAGTCACCCCAGTTCATTGCTGTGAAGGAACTACCTTGCTCATCTGGCTGGTCTCTGGCACATCCCTCCTTTGGCTGGGGGTCTTGGGCAGCGTATGGGCAAAATATCAGGCGCCATTCAGCTTCCCATGTGCTCGCTGAAGCGGCCGCTGCTGCGTCAGGCCACAAGGGCAGGGCTGCATGACGGAAGCCTCTTGAAAGGGCAGGAGGATGCCTTGCGCAGGGAAAGCCAGCAACTCAGGGGCAAGTGTTTCTGTGTTCCGTGAATTGTTTCTACGCAGCAAATGCTTTGTGTGAAGAGGTGCATTCAGCCAGGGGAGCTCCCCAGAGCAGTCTGAAGCTGCAGAGGTTTAGTACCTCAAAGAGAATGAGGCCCTTCCACTCTGACATTACCCTGGCCATTATGTCATTAATGGTTGCAATGAACCTTCTCGGCCTTTGTCTGTGTAAATAAAGAAATGATTTTTAAAAACAGGGTGTTGGTTTCTACAAGATATAAATAAAGTGATCACAAAGCCTCCGGCTCTTCACTCCAAAATCATTTGTAATTCTTTGAACATTTTGGTGGAAAGAATGAGGAAGTAGCCATTAGACTGGGGTTGCCCTGCACTGGAGGAGACCAGCCCAGATAGAAATGATTAAAGCCGCTTTCTCCAGCAGGGGGCCCTCCAGATGTTTGGACTGGGACTTGCAGGCTGACACATCTGGAGGGCACCAGATCGGGGAGGCTGTCTTAGTGCTTCACTGCAGCTTTGGCTTCTGCCTTCACCGGCCAGGAAAACAGAGCAACCAGAACGCTCCCTGAAATCCAGGAAAAGAGGATGCTCCCGGGCAGATGTGGCAGCCCCCACAAACATGTGACGGACATAAAGGTACCCAGCGCTGGCCCTTGGGGGTCACAGTCCCTCTGGCACAGTGCCCATTCATTTTGACGGAGCACAAACACACTGCGGCTCCCTAAAGGAAGCTGGAAAGAAAGTGGAGCAGCCGGCTGGATTTTCTGCCTCAGACCCCGCAGTGTCCCGAGGTCAGCCCAGGAAGGATGGGATGCCCGGGGCTGAGTCACAGCCGGGGTGTGTACACGCAGCCAGACCGCTGCAGCCCAGCCGAGAAGCCGCCAGACCAGGAGGCACCCAGCAGGCGTGGCGCCCCCCAGGGTGGGGGCAAACCCTCTCTGCACCCAGCCCTATAGCCCCCGCTGGCCTCCTCCGTGAGCTGGGCCAAACAGAAGCCCATGGACACTTGTGGGCTCCCAGCCGTGCAACCGGCGAGCCAAAGGGCCGCTGCAGGACTCAGCAGGGGGAGCGCCAGGCACCGTCCCGGGCAGCCGACCTTCTTCCCCACTGGGCACCAGAAGAGGGGCATGGCCTGCCCAGTGTGTGGGGCTCAATTCCTGGCAAGCACCCCGAATGCTGGGAACCCCCGGCAAGCACTTGGACTCCAGGCCACTCCCAAGAGACCCAGAACCCAGGGGGCCGAGCCTGGGGAATCCGACCAGCTCCTGCCCCCAGGCAGACTCCCGGCCCACCGGCCCCACCGCTTCGGCCCTCCCGAGGGCACGGCATGGGACATCGGCGCAGCGCTGAGGTGCATGCCCTTCCCGCCAGCTGTCAGCGTGTGCACGTGCGTGCGGGCAGAGGGAGCGCAGGGATCCCTGGCGGCCCTCGGAATCCAGACGTCCAATGCTCAGAAAGCCTCCGCCGAGGTCAGCCGCCGTGCTGTCCCGCCACACTGCTCCTGCCCAGCACTGCCCGCTCCGCTGGAGCACCTGGAGGGCAGCGGTCAGGGCACCTCCAGGCAAGGCCTCTCGCCAAGCGGCCTCGTAGCGGTTGGGGACTTGTTGCCACGGCCACGTGTGGAAGATGCGGCACGCTGGGGCGGCAGCGAAACCCTACAAGAAGCCCCTCAAAGAAGCCCAAGGAAGCCAAGTAGTCCCTGAGGCTACGGGAGGTACTGCGACACCGTCACAGTCCAGATGCAGCTGGCAGAAGTTGCTCCTGCCAGTGCAATGGATCGGAGCAGCATTCCTACATGCAGGAGCAGCGTCCTCCTCCGCCTGCCTGCCTGCCTGCCATACATGCACACGCACGCACGCACGCATGCACGCACGCACACAGAGTTTCTGCAAAGGTTCACACACACATCCCAACCCACTTGGCTAGGCTAGAGGGACACGGGCAGAGCGAGGCCTAACAGCACGAGCCTGTGCAGAGCAACCATGTAAAGGGATTCCCTACTCCGAAGTGCAGAGGACTGCAGTCTGCCGTTCACATCTTCACCGGAGGGTTTGGTATCCTGTCACACAGCAAGAGCTGCAGGTTCTTGTTGAACTCCCCCACCTTGCTCCCCCCCCTGCAAATCAGGCCCTTCCAAGACAGAAGTTGAGCTCCAGTTAAAACATTTCTCACTGAAAGTCTCCAGGCAAAGGTCAAGCATCCCAACAGCAAAATGCTGTTTCTTGTATGTGCAATATTTTCTTATCTTCTATTCAACACTTAAAATTTTAGCATACACATGGAATAAACAAGTCCAACTGGGTTCAAAAATTGGAACTGGCAAAACACAGCACAACTGCATTTCTGTTCTGGGAAGAGCACTTCATGCAAAATAGGAGTGATTATGCAGATAAGCTTAATTTACACTGGGGATCGAGCCTCACCCTGCACCTCTAGAAACCCTGTTCCCCAGATGAATTATTCATCTACATACTTTTAGCCTTATCTGTGCAGTCATAAGGACTAGGAACTTGGCTTTTCAAACAATCATTTGACACATCCCATGCCCCCTTTGAATCACAGCAGACATGCAGCCCTGAGGACAACTTACTTTGCTGTATGGACTTCAGTCCGCGGAGGAAGGTGGCAGCGAAGAGGAAGCAGCAGCCGGCCTGGTCAAAGTGCACCTCCCCGATGATGCTCAGGGAGGCCCCCAGGCAGATGGGCCCCATCGCCACGTACTGCAGCGGGTGGTGGCACTTCCCCAGCAGCACCTTGGAGAGGGTCAGGGTGAACAGCGGCGTGGTGGTGTAGACCATCTGTGCAAAGTCCAGCTGGACATAGTTGAGCCCCAGGTTCCCAAACGCCACGCTGGCACAGAAGGTCACGCTCAGCAGGAAGACCCTCACCTTGGCTTCAGGGCTGAGGGCAGGCTGCCTGGTCCCCGCCACCCAGAGCTGGGCCAGGGGGTTGCCCACCAGCACAGCGGTCAGCATGTGCAGGGACGAGAGCAGCACCGGGTACCGGAAGTTGTGGGTGGCGAAGATCCACTTGTTCAGGCTGGACATGGTGGTGCCGGTGGCCAGCCAGACGAAGACGGTGGCCATGAGCGGCAGAGCGCGCAGGGACGGGGCAGGCGGCCTTGGCCCCCTGCCTTGGCCGGGACCCAGTTTGCAAGGAGAGGGTGGCCACCCTCCGTCGGCAGAGTTCATCCCTGCGTCATCTCTCCCTGGGGAGGGCAGGCACATGGAGGACGGCAGCCCGGCACAGTGCAGGAGGTCCCTTTGCAGGACGCCTGGAGAGGATCGCCTTCAGTCTCCCCGCCAGGCCAAGGCACTCGCTGAGCCTGCTCTCGCCTGGCAGAGCCGGGCCCACAGGAATGCTTCAGTCCTCTGGTGGAGTCCGCCCCGTCTCCTTTCCAACTGGCACTCCCAGTGACTCACCGGAATCGGATTTCCAGCTGCAGCCAGCCTCCCGGGCGATCCGTGTGGCGCTCTGTGGATTTTCCCCCAGGGAGCCTGGAACTGATGGAGGAGAAACCGCAGGGCGTTTAGAAGCTGGAAAGCACCTTCCCCTTCAGTTGAAAGCACAAGACAATCTCAGCTCCTCCGTATCAGCTCTGGCAGGAAGGCATGGATCCACTCGTCTGCGAAACACGCGGGCCGGCCCGCATCACTGAATCTTGCGCTTTGGGTCCTGGCCTGCCCTCCGACACGCTGACCGGCTCCAGGAGACACTGCGCTGGGCCTGCTGCCGGCTGCCTCTTCCCGTGAATGGCCATGTGCAGACGGGATTCGGCGAGAACCAGCGGAAACTCTGATGGTTTGCCGGGGGACAGGATGCTCCTCCCTCTGCGTATCCAGGGAGTGCTCTGACAGCAACACAACATCAACAACCGATCATGTGCCCGCGTCCTTAAAGTGAACACGGCCAGGCATCTGAAGGGCTGCATGGAGTGGAGTCATCCCGGCTCATCCCCAGGGGATTACGGAGGGCTGGCTGCAAGGGGAAAAAGAAACAGCAGTCACAGCACAGCCCACAAACGGTCGGTCGCCGTGGAGACACGGAGAGGTGAATCAGCATCCCTGACGAACTGCAGGCAAGAGACGCCCGGGGTGAAAAAGGGCTGGGAAGAGCTTCTCCTGGGCTGGCCCTCAGCTGGGCGCCTGCTCTCAGGGGCGGCTCAACCCAGGGCGGCCCAGACGGGGAGAAATGCTGCTCCTCCGGTGCAGAGAGCATCCCCTTGGCTGCCGAGTGCCAGAGAATCCTCACACGGTGAACAGAAGGGCCCCCAGAGCTGGGGGTGGCATTTCCGCCGACCGGTCCGAGCTCCAGCACCTTGTTGGTCAGACCTTCAGCAAGAAGACAGAGCTGTTCAGTAAAAGATGCCAGTGGGTGGGTGTCCCCTGATGGGAAGTGGATTCCAGAAGGTGGATCTCCTGGGGAGGGAGAATCTTTGGGCTGCAAGAATGGAAAAGTGGGAATCTGTCTGCCAGCCACAGAGCCCAAAACCTTATGGCTGATTCATGCCGCGCCATCAATGCTTACGGGGTTGATTTCCTCAGGCAGAGAGATGGAAGCAAAAGCCACTTTCCATCCTGTTCGCTTCCACCTGAGTTGCTGAGAAAACCATCCTTTTAAATCAGGGGTGGGCAACCCGCAGCCCACCTCTGCCCCCAGCGTGGCCCAACCAGTCCCCAGAAGCCCCAGCTTCCATAGCCACACTGACCAGTGGGGCTGCGGATGGGAAGATGCTGTGACCACACCAGGACGACATCAGATTTTAGCATCTCCCCCACAACCATCAGTGCCCCAGGGGAGGGCTCAGCACAGGAACGGCTTCTGTGTGTCCCCAGAGATTCCATCCAGGGCTCCCTGTCTCTGCCCGCAGAGGTGTGCACATGTGTGTCTGCCGTGTGCGCATGTGCATCTACAGCCCCTGCCTGGCACACAATGCCACCTGCAGCCCTTGGGACCAGAAAAGGGGCCCACCCTCGAGTGCTTGCAGAGGGAGGGCATCCAGGAAGCTGCACCCCAAAACAGAACGTGTGCGCCTCACGCACAGCTCAAAGTTCTGCTGTTACCTTTTAAATCCCCAAAGCGCTTGAGACCCAGGTGTGTTTAGGCCACCTCCTCCTGCATGGATTCGCTCAGGGAACAGAAGCAGCCACAAAGGCCTTTCTCCAGAGGTGCCCCACTTGCAAAACTCTCTGATCAGGTGACTCGCCTGCTGCTACGCCCAAGTTCTCTGCAAGAACTTGTGAAGACCATTTAATTGTCTAGGCCTTCCAAGGGTGCTTGATGGGCATACAGCAACCCTGCATCACGACACAACACCAGCCTGCTTCTTCCACACGCGACAAAAGCAAACGCTATTTCCAAATGTTAAGTGTATCTCCATCTTGGCCATCTTCCTCAGCCGAGGGGCCTTCACACGGGCCAAACTGCAACTGCCTTCATCCTCAGCCAAGATTGGTAAAGCAGAGAAAAGCACGGGGGGGGGGGGGGGCAGCCTTCTCCCCAGTGCACTAGTTTGCTACATGCGGGGAGATTTCGCCCCACTGGCATACGGTCAACCCCACTCCCATAAAGCAGCAAGCAGCTTTAAAGCAGAAACAAATGCATATGTACTCAGAAGTAAATTCCACTGTGTTCAATGGGCTTACTCCTGGGTAAGTGTGTTCAGGGTTCTAGCTATCTTCCTATGCATGTTTGCTCACAAGACTATTCCACTAAATGCAACAGGGCCAGAAAAGTCAACACTCAGGTTTACCACTTTAGCCACGCTGGGCAGGGCACGGTGGTTGGGCTGGGCTGAAGAAACAGGCTTTTAAACCCCACTTTGCCATGGAGCTCATGAGGTGACTTTGAGCCAGCCACAGGCTAGGTTCACAAGTACTGCATCGCTGTGCTGGCGTGAGCAGGCGAGTGCAGCCATTGTGTGGTTGTGCTTACGTTTTCCCAGAATCCAAAACAACCCATGAGTGTCACCTTTCTGGGTTGTTGTTCTGATGTGTGAAGTCAGCACTCTGGCTTGTGTAGGGTTCAGCAACCCAAGGTTTTAACCTGTCCACAGACTTAAACCCAGAATTCTGGATTCACACCTCACAACAACTAAAGGCTGTTTTGTGGCCCAGGAAGAACAGGGAAGCAGGTGGGAGGCAGCACACGAGCTCGCACTCGTGACAGTCCATGGGTTGTTAACCCTGGGTTATTTGATCAGGAGCGCAAGCCCTTGGCTCTCAGCCAGGACACCTCACAGGGTTGCTCAGAGGGCAACACGGAGGAAGGGGGGGGGGGCTCACGGGCCACGCTTCCTTGAGGAAAGGGAGGGGGGTATCCACGCAGCGCATCAGTCCCTCATTCAAACGGGCAACCCACATGCTGGCCCTCGCGAGGACTCGTGTCACGTCTGAAATCGCCCCCCTTTCTTCCCCCGCGAGGACAGGCCAGGCCAGGCCGGTCTGCAGACCTGCGAGCGAGGCTGCGGCGCTCAAGGTGACCCCTACCTTCCCCGGAGTCGCTGGGCGACGCTCCGTCGCAGGCGGGGGCAGCCCGCGGCGCCGCGCCGGTTCCGCGCAGGAGGGCGAGCATGGCGCGGCGGTGCCCTCGCGGCGGCGCGCCGGGCCCTGGAGCGCGCGGGAGGCGCCCGGCATGCGGGGAGCAGAGCCGCCGGCGCCCNAGTCTGGCCTTCAGTTGGCCAAAGTTGGCCCTCTTGAAGTCCCAGCTTCTAGTGCTCGACCTGCTGCACGTCCCCAGTCCCCTGATCCGAAAGCAAAGGATGGAGTGATCACTCGCATCCAGAGCTCCCCTAATCTGTACTTCATCTATCAGCTCCTCCCTATTGGTCAAGACCAAGTCAAGGATGTTTCCCCCCCTCGTCACCTCTCGGACCCTCTGTGTGAAAAACCCTCCCTCTATAGCTTCTAGGAAGCGATGTGGAGCCATTCTTTCCTTTTTAACATACCTGTTCTCATTCCATCTAGCTGTACTTGACATCAAGTCATTTTTAACTTGGGCTTCAAAGAAAATCTGAAGGCACTATTCTTGATTTTGGTGTCTTTGATGTGAAGCTCATTGTTTACAGGGCCACCCACTCTGTTTAGGACCCTGAGGCTTTGTACCTTGTACAGAGCTAGTATGGTTCGAATGTTAGATAGGGTCTGACTCTCTAGACTTTGGTGACCTAGGTTTAAGACATCACTCAGCCATAAAGCTCACTGTTGATCCTGGCCCAGTCCTTCTTCCTGCCCAATCTACTTCACAGGTTTGTGAGGATAAAATGGGAAAAGAGGGGGCTTATGTACATCCCTTTGAGCTCCGTGAAGGAAGGTCCAGATCAGAATGAAACAAATGAAATCATTTCTGTGGGCCAACAAGTCAACTGTGTTGGACTTACCATTGCAGTGGCACAGCCTGCCCAAAAAACAGACGTGTAATAAGTGTGCAAATACTATAACAGGGGTGACAGAGAAGTCTTGCTGCAGAGGAGAAAGGCCTTCCTTTGCCCAGATTCTTAATCACAGCTACTTCCACACTTGACACAAATCAAGGTTAATATGGAATTGACTAGAATGGATTGTAAGCACCTTCTGCTGTTGGTCAGTTTCACTCTTGTGCTGACTCCCCTAAGTACATTTCTGTTTAAAGGCTGTAACGCAACAGCCATGTTCACATATGATAACACGCTTTGATTTATAAAATAATAGATTGTCATGCTCAAGAGGGTTCTCTGCCTGTGGCATGTCTATTTCTTTCATTCACAACCCACAATGAACTCCTTTGTAGGTTGTGCAGTATAACATGTGAACCTGAAGGCTGAACAACCAGGAGTAAACCCAGGAAGAAACCATGAGCTAGCCACTGGGCTGTTTAGCCCCTAAACAACCCAGTGTTCCAGGTTTGCACATGATGCTGCAAAACCTATGAAGAGGCTGATTATGGGTTGTGTGATAAAGTGAAAGAGTCCCTCTCATCGTGCCAGCCATCATCAGCATTTGAACCAATGGGTTTTCTTAAACCAGGTCAAGGATAGTTGAAGTACAAATTGCACTTTACTATTTATCCTATATTATCCTGAAATAATAAAGTAAAAGGTTTTAAGAACTGCTCAAGGAAATGGGATAAGGGAAACCATTACATACCAAGAGTAATATCACAAGTACTGTCAGACAGATGCCAGTGACATCCATACCCATCAAGTGAAGCAATATTGACTATGTTGTTGGCAGTTTGTTTTAGCATTTCATACTAAAAATCAATTGGACTGGAGATTATAAAAGCATATTGGAAGCTTTACAGCCAGAGTAAATAACATGCGGGTCTCTAGATGTTTCTTACTAAAATTCCCCTATGCCCTAGTTAACACAATCAGGGATTGACTGTGACATCACAATGGCACTATTTGCATAGCCCTGCTTTAAAGTTTCACCCCTAAGCATATTCACAGTATAATTTAACAACCAGTAATTTTGAGGGCACGGGATTTCCATCAAGTACCTGCAAACATGGACATCAAATAAGCTGAAACTGTTTCCAAGTTATTTCCTGGCTATTGTACCTGGGGGAAGGTTTTGTCTGTATAGATGTCTGCCTTTTCAGGGGTGATGTATGCATTTATTATGCTGTGGCTCTTGCTGAGTAAGTAATCCGTTCATCAATGTGGCTGCACTGTCATGCTCATCCTTTAGTGTCTATGCCAAATCCCTGGCAGTCATGATTGCTAAGGGAAAACATGGAATTAATTGTCAAACAATTAAAGCGTCTTTATTTCATCTTCCCACAGTTATTAGTGAGCCTAAACTCCCCACATCCTTTTCCACACTGAAGTCCTCCTGCCTCCGGTACTGATGCCTTAGGTCTATGAGCCACTTTGGTACAGCTTTATTGCTCCTGTGAAATCTCATTGCTCTCGTAGTTAATATATTTGTTCCATTTCACAGTGGGATACTGTCTGTTTCCAGATGTCTGTTTCAGTAAGCAAAGGGGGCGTATCTGAGACTGACATCTGAGTTTTTCAGGCACAGGAGTTTGAGGGGGAGATGAGTTAGAAGGTACTGCTGTTCAGCAAAATCAGGAGCTCTTTGATGTGTAGTGCATCTGTTCATCAATAAAAATACTCTTTTGGAAAGAATACTATAATCACAGGCATTATGTTGTGTTGAGTAGAATACAGATGATAAAGAAGCAGGAGGAAAAAAGAGGGATAATACTGTCCACAGGGAAGCCAGCATATGCAGCTTAGGAAAATTGTGTTGCTTCACTAAGCCAGTTAAATTTGAGCATTAAGAAGTTCTGTGTTTATCATAAATTTTGTCCAGATGTGAAGTTGACTAGTGCTTGCTTCAAATGCATGGCAAATGCTCTGTGGCTTAAGTAGGTGTTGTACAAATGGAACAGAAAGCAATTGCTATAGATTTGTGATGACAGGTTGAAGGAACAGAGGATATTTAGCTTTGAAGAGATGGATGGGAGGAAACTGCAGCGTAGCCGATTTCAAACCTGTTATCGGTGCAATCCACAAGATGGCAACAGATTCTTCTCTACCGCCACTAATAAAAGGACAAGAGGGAATGGCCTTGAAAGTAAGGGATTAATAATTTCAGTTAAATAGAAAGAAGAAACTCTGAAGAGAAATCATCCAAATTTGAAGTCTATTTGAAGTCTATTTGAAAATAGGTTCAAAATAGGAGCAGCAACCTTTGGTTGCACCTTTGCAACATTATGTTACATTGCTTCACAGCTATTCAGAGCTTTAAATATATCTGACACTGGAAACGTATCAGAATTTAGCTTTATGAGATTAAAGTTTAAGCATGTTCTTTGAGTAGCTTAATGTTTAATTTGAATTGTTGTGTAACAACAGAGGCAGAGGCACAAATACAGAGAGCCCGTGTGGTATAGTTGCTAAGAGCACAGAACTGGGACTCAGGTGACCTGGGTTCTAGTCCCTGCTCAGCCATGGAGCCAGCTGGGTGACTTTGAGCCAGGCACAGACTCTCAGCCCAACCTACCTCACAGGGTTGTTGTTGTGGGGATAAAATTGAGAGCAGGAGGAAGAGAATTATGTAAGCCACTTTGAGTTCATTGGGGGAGAAGTGGGATAGAAATTTAATAAATAGTAAATAGAGAGCCTAAACATTAACTCTGCTGGCAATACAGGCATCATTGCAGTGTTGGTAAAAGGATGCAGATGGCTATGGACAGAGCCAACGTTTGCAAGTAGAATAGTAGGTGGCAGCAGGATCACACTCAGCTTTGTTTAATGTTACCATTTTATGTTGTCACCATTCACAGTGACATTAAACATGCATGCTGTCCGATTTTTCTTCAGCTGCAACAATTGCTTTTATCCTGTTTAAACTAAGCAGTCAGCGCGGGTGTGGGGGGAGAAACGCAGCTTGATTTGTCATGATTTATTGTGCAGCAGAAAACAAGCAGCATACAGGATGAGTGAAAGGGGCCTTCTGTTTACAGATACGTAGATACTGATACATCCCAGTCACTGACTGTAGGCAGGTAGGATTCCCTTTCTGTTGAGGCTGCACCAGCACAGGTTGGTGTTCCATGCTTTTCTAGGCCACGCTCCATCCCTGCGACCAGGAAAGCAAACAAACAGAATCTCCTTGCTGGGTTTAGCACAGAGCTGGGATTTCATTGCCTGCCCACTGTGTGTACAGAGTTATTTGCACACTCCAGGAGAGTCCAGCTTTATGCCAATACAGTAAAGAGATGGAGTCCTCCCTTTGGCTGGAGACCATTTAACCATAATTGGGGATTGCCTCTCCCTTCACCCCCATCTCCAACCCCACCCCATTAATATAACTGCATGGAGGAAGTAAATCATGAGCTGTGCATTTGTGTAGGAGGCTGACCCTTGAAATGCTTGACTCATCCATTGCCTTCATCTGGATGGCTGGATGGCTGGATGATGCATGGGCTCCCAGAGATCAGTGCCCAGCTCAAGCGTTACTTCTTCCATACTGCTGGGGGTAAGGAACAGAGTTGCACGTGGAATTTTAAAATATATAGTGTAATTCATATTGTGAGGCATAACATTCTGTACCCTAATCAGAAGGTGAGCAATCCATGGGCTGATGGTTGCATGCATCCCCCAGCTGATTTTGTGGGTCCCATTGCCCTGCTATAAAATTTGGCAGTGCAGAATAGTGTTGCACAGAGCACACAAGTTGTTTCAAAGTGAAGCTGCACAGCAAGGAAAGCAGCAAATGTGGGTTTTGCAGCAAATGTAGCAGGATTTGACTTACAGGGTAGATTTTAGGGGAGATGGACCAAAGTGTTTTTGGTGGCCCCTCCATGGAAATAGCATGAGTTTTGCCATGAGGATTCTAGGACTGGTAGTCATACTCCCATCTCCAGCAAGGTCAAGAAATCCATTGGGTTGCGGGGCGCATTTCATACTCTTGGCATCTTCCATGTACCTGCCCCTGGTAAATCCCTGGCCCATTGGAGAACATGGAAGGCAGAAGTGAAGGTGGTGGTATTTGCAGGGTCTGGTCACAACATCCCAAACTCTT